TTAATTCCCAAAGAGGTTGAAACAATGAATTCTCTGGGTAAGACTCTAAATATCTAAACCATGTAAATAATCAATAGACAGTCCCTATATTGGAACTATCAAATATTGCGATAATGACAAGCATTTAAAAAAGAAAAAGGATATTGGATCAAAATTTTTCAAATCTTTAAATCTACTTTCTCAAAAATCTGCATTTTCATTCCTGGAAAATCGAATATTCAATACACACACAAAATTCAGGACAAATACGGATAAAATACTTTATATCAGGAACATCAAGATCATCAGGACAATTACTAACCCTGATTTAATCTAATTTTTAAAAACAGCAGTCTTGAATATAAAAACAAACTGAGATCAAGCGTAAATAGAGAAAACCTGATTATTCTGCCAAGACATTAAAATGAGGTTGATTTCATACACACACAACCTACCGACATTAGCAACAATGGGATTATTTTTTTAAATACTGCTCAAATTTTGTTATTTTAAACCCATATCAATGACTATTAACTGTGTTCATTAAGTTCATCAGTTATGTAAACTAAATAATAGACAATGTATGAATAAAAAAAATATAAAAGAGTAAAGGAAAAAAATTTAGATTGGCTACCTTCATAAAAAGTAATACAGGATATATATAAAAATACGTACATTAAAATATACAAAATGACCCTTCGGCATGACATGAAAATACATACATGGGTGGTTTTTTCAGCAATGAACTGTGGTTCTTCATCTCATAAAATTCTGATGAAAATTTTTATATCCTGATCCAAAAATGAAGGATATTGTGGATTACTAGCAATAGTCTGAAAAAATAAAAGGATACTTTTATTACAAAATTAAAACACAAATATTTTATTAAAATATTCTTTTTACTATTGTTAGTTAAACATCAATTCAAATTCTTTTGTTTTTATTTATTATTTAAAAAAGATTTTTATAAACATTGCACGCTTGATTTCAATGGTGTGCCTCTAGTCTTCAGGTTTCAAATTCAAACTGTAATGTATCAAAATAAATATTTTTTTTTTCTTAATTAGAGTAATAAAACTAATAACATGTTTATCATTAATAGTCTATTAATACTAATATATGAGGGAGGATAAATAGTGTTTTTATGTCTCAGCTTGCTTAAACAGTTTTTAAAAAGCTTTTGAGCCAATCACTTGAATGCTCCTTAATTCTTAGAATTTAAATTCTTATTTGCCATTCAGTTAAATTCAATGATCTTCATACAATTGGTGCTAAAACATTAATTTCTAAATAAAAAATTTTATCAATTTATGGGAAACTAAACTGCCAATTGCATTTAATGTAAAAGAAAAAAAATTGGTAAAAAAGTGATAAATGAAACCAAAAAATAGGAGGCAAATATAAATATCCAGAAAATGGGGAGGAGTTTAAAAAGGTTCCTGTAATTCGGTAGTCAAAATTGAATTGAATGCTGGGCTTAACGGCACAATGACTTTAATTGTGGCATATATAATCTGCGAAATTATGAAAAATGAACTGTCATTTCTGAAACTGAAAAAATAAATTTCGAATCCCCCATACAATGACATTCTGAATATAGCATTTTACTATACCTATTAAATTTAAACCTTACTTCAAGCTCTCCACTCAATTCTGGCAAAGCTTTCAATTAGGGATGCAACGAATATTCGGCCACTATTCGGAATTCGGCCCTTTTGCCGAATATTCGGTCTAGCCGAATACTGAAGTTATTCGGCCGAATAATGAAGTATATGCTATTATTAATTATTTAGATTTGTGAAAGCCTTATTGTTGGCATCAAGATATTTAAAATATTACAAAACATACATCAAGTTGTTACATTTTTTTTAAAATATAGGAAGTTTAAAAAAGAAAATTTGTTAATATTTATTTCATTTTTAATTTAATATTTGAAAATTATTTAATTACAAAATTAAAATTTCAAAAGTGAAACTTTTTAAAAAGTTCTTAATTTTCTGAGTTTTAATAATTTTTCTGACAAAAAAGAAAGAAAAGAAGAAGAATACATTTAACGGTAGTAAGTAATGAGTTCTTATCTTAAATAAAATAGCATATAAATTACAAGTATAACTATAACTAAAATATGCTATTATTAATTATTTAGATTTATAAAAGCCATATTGCCTTGTTATTGGCATCAAGATATTTAAATTATTACAAAAAATAAATCAAGTTGTTAAAATTTTTTTAAATATACAAAGATTAAAAAAGCAATTTTGTTAATATTTATTTCATNATAGCATTTTACTATATTAAATTTAAACCTTACTTCAAGCTCTCCACTCAATTCTGGCAAAGCTTTCAATTTACTTTCCTCCTCTATAAAAGAAAAGAAAAGAGAAAATTAAAGTTATGCAATATAAAAATCGATAGGAAAAGTGAATCAATGACAGATAATTAAACAAAAAATAAAATAAGCTATAATTACAGGTTACTACAATAAATGCATAAAATATATTTGATCAAGGTTTTGCTTTAAAAAGAAATGTGGATTTGATTAAATTAAAAATGAGAAGTAAGAATATTTAAGTATGATTTTTGATCAGGTGCAGATAAATACAATGATTTATTTATAGGTATATAGTTATCTTTAAGTAAGTAAGATTTAAGTAGATAAGTAAGATTTATTTATAAGAATATTACTTTGGTTATTTTATTTTTTGTGAACATCAATGTATGAGAATTGTAAACATTACCAACAAAGTAACATGAACCATAAGTATATAATTGTTCATTAGCTACATCCTTAGTACTAAATATAATATCTATATAATCTCAAATACTAAATTGCTATGAGAAATTTTCAAGTGAAAATAAATTCTGATTTTTCAATTCCCAATGACTAATTATTAAACTTTCTTGCAACAGGATCTTTGAGCATTGATACATATGAGCGGAAAGTATTCATAACAGCAACAGGATCATTAATGGGTGCTGATACACTCATTACTGCTGGTATCCTTGCCATGCTTAAGGACTCCAAAAAAAGCTATTCAATGATAAAACTCACCTCAAATTTTAACAATTCTATAAAAAAAATGTAAATATTCTTAAGAATTTGCATGAATTGTAAGGACTGCAATAATTAATAGGCAAAATTAGTAAACATGTATTAGAAATTTTAAAAAAAAACAGAGATTATTCTGTTTTATAAGAACAAGAAATGTTATATTAGAGTTTTCACTTAATGCCACTTAAAGCTTCAGTCTCTAGCTGAGTTATATTCCATAAAATAATAAAAATACAGTTGATGCTCAATATAATGAATCCTCCGGTCCAAACAAAAGCGAATGAGATAACATGAGTTTGCTTTATCGTGTTTATTTATATTGCACATATTTACTTAGATTTTATACTAGATACCCTTTTTAAAAAGTAGAGTTTCAGTTATTTTGAGATTTATAATCCAAAATCAAAACACTATATAACTACAAACTTATATTGCTTTAGGAACTGTGGATTTACATGCTCGCACTTTCAGATCTGGTCAATATTTATTAGGTCTTTAGTACACATTCTCACAAACACATAACAACAACTAAGACATGCATACATTTTTAGTGACTATTCGCTTGCGCCCAGTGAAGCGAAAAGTACCGGTAGTTATACTCCAACAGCCATGAACTTGGTTACCCTTGATTAGTTTACCCTCACATAAGGTTCAACAATTGTGTAATATTTTCACACAGATTAACTAAGAAAGCAGAATTTTATTTACAATCATTAGTTAAGTTTCTATATAGTAATAATAAGGGGAATATTTCCGTATCCTGATCTGTCATACCGACTATAAGGTAACAAAATTATTTTAAATTTGCAAACTAAAAAAAATAAATCAAACAAGTAGAAATTTGTCTGAGGATGGCTATGAGTAATATCCTTTCTGTAAGCCCCTTTTATTTTATTTTTTTTAGTTTCTCAAGGACCACTGCATGAAAGCTGCCAAAACTAGGCATTTATTCAGCTATAGATCATGATACAGAAATCTTCCCATAATGAGCTACTTGATATAACAAGGTAAAATAAACGGACTGCAATAAGTGATTAAGGTAATAAAAGTTTAATAGGGTTGCAAAAACTACGGTTAACCAATTTTAAAAAGGGAGAAAAAAAGGAATTAAAAAGATTATAGAAAAACGGTCATTACAGCAATTTAGACTCATTGAACTTGTATAATTATAAAGATAAAGCAACTGCATTTATACCGGAACTAGGTTTGATAAATTTCCACGGCCCAAAAGTAAAAAAATGTTACACAAAATTTTCTTCGAAAATATTAGTTGCATTTAAATGTGCAATGCAAAATTGATGAGCTTTTATATAAATAATTCCTATGTTGAAAGATTAAGAGCACGTTATTCCGCTTATTACTATGAGAAAGAAAAAAAAAGAACTCACACCATTCTTAATTGACATTGACTAATGCTGATGCACATATTGGAATATTTCAAACTATTTTCATTAAATAATTAAGGTTATGCTTAGTGAAATGTTCATCACAGCCTTTTGTTTGTTTACGAACTGATTTCATAATTATGTAAAGCATCCGGTTGCCTATTTCTGCAAATGTTACTAACCCGTTCAAATGGAAGTACTAAATTTATAAAAAGTTGTTGTTGTTGATTTACGTCGCACTAGAGCTGCACAATGGGCTATTGGCGACGGTCTGGGAAACATCCCTGAGGATGATCCGAAGACATGCCATCACAATTTTGATCCTCTGCAGAGGGGATGGCACCCCCGCTTCGGTAGCCCAACGACCTGCACGCGAAGTCGAGCACTTTACGGTAGCACAGTTTAACGAGGACCAATACCGCACACCCTCGGTCCCTACGCAGACTGATCCAAGTGGGTCACCCACCCGCACACTGACCGCAGCCAGTGATGCTTGACTTCGGTGATCTGATGAGAACCGTGTCTTAACGATCAGTCCACTGCGGGACAATTTATAAAAAGCCATTGTCACTGAAGACCGGAATTACGTATAAGCTAAATAAGCTGTAGCTTGGGGCCCCGAGATGACAAGGGCACCCAGATCCTACTTTCCCCCCCCCTTTTTTTAAAAAGTTTTATTCGGGGCTGGAGCCCTCAGAAGCCCAAAATGCATTCCCAGCAGATCACCGAAGTCAAGCACCACTGGCTGCGGCCAGTGTGCGGGTGGGTGACCACTTGGATAAGTCTGCGTAGGGACCCAGGGTATGCGGTATTGGTCTTCGTTAAACTGTGCTACCGTAAATTGCTCGATTTCGCACGCAGGTCGTCGGGCTACCGAAGCGGGGGTGTCATCCCCTCCGCAGAGGATCAAAATTGTGATGGCATGTCTTCGTATCATCCTCCGGGATGTTTCCCAGAGCGCCGCCAATAGCCCATTGTGCAGCTCTAGTGCGACGCAAATTAACAACAGCAACAG